TCCTTTCTTTTCTTTTTTTTTGGAGACAGAGTCTGGAGGCTGGAGTGCAGCAGCACGATCTTGACTCATTCCAACCTCTACCTCCCGGCTTCAAATGATTCTCTTAGCTGGGATTACAGGCACGCGTCGTCACGCCCAACTACAGGCCACCCTTTCAACGCTCGTTATGTAGATAGCAGATGAACAGATGCATAGATCAATGGGACAGACAATAAAAAATCCTCAAACGGACCTGCACAAATACAACCAATTACGTTTTTACAAAGATGCAAAAACATTTCGATGGAGGAAAGACAGATTTTGTAGCAAATGGGCTGGAGCAGCTGGACATCCACAGACAAAACCACCAAACAAAAAGAACCACAACCTAGGTCTCGCACCCTTTATGAAAATTAACTCAAAATGGATCGTAGACTTCAACATAAAGCTGACAATTATAAAACTCTTAGAAAGCAAGAAAAGAAAATCTTTGGCTTATGGAGCTGGGTCAGGAGGTTTAGATTTGTCACCAAAAATATGATCCTTAAAAGGAAAAATTATTAAAATAGACTTCATCAGAATAAAAAACTTTTGCTCTGTAAGAGACCCTGTGAAGAGAATAAAAAGCCAAGCTAAACACTGAAAGAAAACATTTACAAAGTACGCATTCAACAAAGAATTCGTTTCTGTACTTTATAAAGAAATTTTCCAAACTTAACAGTTTCAAAAATAGAATGTAAGCAAAAGACCTGAAGGTGCACTTGACTAGAGAGAATATATGGATGGCAAAGAAACACATGGAAAGGTGTTCGACGTCATTAGTCATCAGCGAAACGCACATAAAAGCCGTGAAGTATCAGTACACATCTGTCAAGGCGGCTGAGATAAGATCATAGCGATCACCCTGAAGCCTGGTGAGGATGCATGGAAATGGGGCGGCTTCTGGAAAATGGCTTGACGGGTTTAAAAAAAAAAAACAAAACAACTAAACCTGCAGCAGGCATAGACCCCTGCAATAGCATCCCTGGGCCTTTGTCCCAGAGAAATGAAAAGTGATGTCCATGCAAAAACCTGTGTGTCATAACCCAGATCTACAAACACAATGTCCTCCAA